TTCGAACTTCTGCAACAACGGTTGCGCACCTGCCAGGGCCATCATCCCTGTCAAATAATACCATGCGGGACACATTCGTTTTTTCTTCGCGCGCGCACGCCGTCGTCGTCGGCCGCGGGGCCCTGAATAGTAGCCACGGTCGTCCGCATGCCACGAAGTGAAGTGTCCGAACGTCATAGGGCGGGAAGCTGGGTGTGGGTGGTGGCGAAGAGTCGTTTGGAAATTTGGTAGAGCTTGAACCGGCCCCCCCACAAAGTGGGGGTATTGCCCGCCTCCTATGAAAACCCTGGCACTGGTGAGAACGGAGTGTCCCCACGTGCTAGTAATTGTTGTTGTTGTTGTTGAACATTATTAATTCTAAAGAATAATTATTGTTGGGCCCCCTGGTGCACGCCCCCCCCCCCGCGCCTAGGCCGCAGCCACATTTTCATATTTTCGTGAGGAAGTCTCAGGTAAAACGATGTCATCCAGATCCGGTTGTTTTGTTGACGCCCGCTTTCCCTGTCAAAAAACACTATAAAATGACATGTCTTGTTCTAACATAACCAAACTTCAAGAATCCTTTGCAAAAAATGACACGAAGTGCACACTCGCGCGCGCAAGATGAAATCCTTCCAAAACCTTAGTTTTCGTAGCGATTTTAACATAAAAACATGAAAAACCCAATGGTTTTTCAAAACAAAAGTTTCAAAAATTCATCCCGCGCGCTCTTGCGGATTTCTGAGGAAACCCAATATTTTTTCAACATTTCTGTCAAACGGGCTCTTGCGAGCAACTTTTTCACGTGCTTCGAACTTCTGCAACAACGGTTGCGCGCATGGCAGGGCCATCATCCCTGTCAAATAATACCATATGGGACACATTCGTTTTTTCTTCGCGCGCGCACGCCGAAATCTTCAATTGCAGGGGGAAAAGTCGTATAGTAAGCTAGCTTCCACAAAATGTTACCACAACAAGTCATTGTACCCATGCGCCAGTGTAGTAGCCAAGGTCGTCCGCAGGCCACGAAGTGAAGTGTCCGAACGTCATAGGGCGGGAAGCTGGGTGTGGGTGGTGGCGAAGAGTCGTTTGGAAACTTGGTAGAGCTTGAACCGGCCCCCCCACAAAGTGGGGGTATTGCCCGCCTCCTATGAAAACCCTGGCACTGGTAAGAACGGAGTGTCCCCAGTCTTAAATGATTGTTGTTGTTGTTGTTGCCGTTGTTGGGTGGTGTTGGTGTTATTGTTGTTGTTGCTGCTGTTGTTGTTGTTGCTGTTGCTGTTGTTGTTGTTGGTGGTGTTGTTGAACTCTCATTTCTGAAGATTAATTATTGTTGATCCCCCTCACCAGTGCAGATTGTTTATTGGAGAGGCCTGACGGCCGGTGCCGCCGACCCTGATCGAAAGGGCTAGGAGTGGGGGCAGGAAGCGGAGGAGGAGGAGGAGGAGGAGGAGGAGGAGGAGGAAGAGGAGGAGGAGGAGGAGGAGGAGGAGGAGGAGGAGGAGGAGGAGGAGGAGGAGGAGGAGGAGGAGGAAGAGGAGGAGGAGGAGGAGGAGGAGGAGGAGGAAGTGCATCCTTTGTGTGCCCGCTCGAAGAAAGTGCGCCCCGGGAGTGTGATATTCTGACTTGGGACGTGCTCCCGGAAGAGGAAGAAGTGCATCTCGGGCGTGCCCGCTCGAGGAAAATGCGCCCTAGGGGGGTGGTATTTTGACTCGGGGCCCGCTCCCGGGACGCCTCTGCGGGAGGAGGAGGAGGAGGAGGAGGAGGAGGAGGAGGAGGAGGAGGAGCAGGAGGAGGAGGAGGAGGAGGAGGAAAAGGAGGAGGAGGAGGACCAGGAGGAGGAGGAAGTGCATCCCGTGCGTGCCCGCTCGAGGAAAGTGCGCCCCGGCGGGCGTCGTATCTGCCCCGGGCCCCCCCCCCTCCCCCCCCCCCCCCCCCCCCCCCCCCCCCCTCCCCCCCCCCCCCCCTGCGGGGAAGGGATCAAAGGGAAGGGGCTTCCCTTCGACTCCTTTGGATAGCGCGCTTGAGGAGGAGAGCTTTGGGAGGGGGAGAACGGAGACGACGGAGACGACGAGTCGAACGGAGAAGCCCCTCACACACGCCGACAGGGTCGGCGGATTCTCAAGCAAAGTGTGCCCCTCGACGCTCGCACCTTGTTTTTTGACAGGGAAAGTCCTGGTGCTCAAACTGGGCCCCTGGCCACCGGATTACAACAACAACGGCTCCCGCCTGAGACTTCTTCCAAAGTTACTCAGGACCCCAGCTCCTGAGATTTCTTCATACTTTACTCAGGATCGGTGCTCCCGCCCGTGACGTCCGCGCAATTTAGTCAGGACCCCCGCTTCTATCTGAGACTTCCTCACAATTTACTCAGGAACGGAGCTCCCGCTTGAGACTTCCTCGCAATTGAATCAAGACTTCCTCGCAATTTAATAAAGACCCCCGCTCCCGCAAGAGAGCCCTTCACATTTGATTCCGGAATTGCGCTCTCGCTTGATTTCCATGCAACTTATTAGGAAATCGCGCTTTCGACGCTCAGGAATCACGCTGCGCCAAGGAAGCCGTTACAATTTACTTAGTAATCGCGCTCTCGCCATACTCAGGCATCCCGCTTGAATATCCCACCCGCCCGTCCCGCCCGTCAGGTGATCGCCCGCCCGTCGTGGGCTCCCGCCCGAGACTTCCTTCAGGAACGGCGCTTTCGCCTAGGAGTTCCTCGAACGTTCACGCTTTCACCTTCCTGCTCCTCCTCCCTCTCCCTCCTCCCTCCTCTCCTCCCTTCTCTCTCCCTCCTCTCTCCCCTCATCCTTACGCCTCTCTGCCCTATCCCCTCTCCCTCCTCTCCCTCCCCCCTTCTCCCTCCCCTCTCCTGCCTCCTCACTCCCTCTTTCTTTCTCTCTCTCCCCTCTCTCTCCGTCTTTCTTGTTGTTTGTGTTGTTGTTTGTTGTTGTTTATTGATGTTGTTGTTGTCGTCGTTGTTGTTGTTGCTATTGTTGTTGGTGTTGTTATTTGTTGTTGTTTTCGTCGTCGTCCTCGCCCGCGACCCACCGGTGACCCACCCCGCGACCCACCCCGCGACCCATCCCGCGACCCACCTGGTACCCACCCGGCGCGCGCCCCCTCGCTCTCATCCAGGTCCCAAGTACATTTGGGGCACCTTCCTATTTCAAGAGTCCAATGGTCTCCCCTCTTCCTCCTCTTCGGGGGGCGGAAGCCCAGGGCGAACAGCGGCCTGGGGACGGGGCCGAGTATTGCGCAGGCCCCCGCCGTGACAACAGCAAGAGAACGCGGCGCTGGAAGTCCTGCGAGATGGAGGCATCGGGGGGGAGGTCGGGTTCGTCGTCCTGTCGACCGCCTCGCTTGCAGGCGTGCTGGCCGAGGCAGGCGTGGCCCTCTCCCATCTCAGTGGGGCCACGGGCCCGGGGGGATCAGCCTGTGAGGGGCGAAGGCACGTCGGTTCGGGGGAACTGCGTGTGTGTGTGTGTGTGTGTGTGTGTGTGTGTGTGTGTGTGTGTGTGTGTGTGTGTGTGCATCTCTCCACCATGTGTGCGTGTGTTCGTGCGGTGTGTCTGTGTATCTGTGTATGGTGCGTGCATGCGGGTGGGAGAGAGTGTTATCGTGCATGTTGGGGTGCCTTTGTGTGTGTTTATGTTGTGTGTGTGTGTTTGTCGTTGTGGTTGTGGTTGTGGTTGTGTGTACATGTGTGTGTGCGTGTGTGCGTGTGTGCGTGTGTGTGTGTGTGTGCGCGCGCACGTTGTGGTTGTGGTTGTGGTTGTGTGTACATGTGTGTTTGTGCGTGTGTGCGTGTGTGTGTGCGCGCGCGTGTGCGCGCGTGCGTGCGTGCGTGCGTGCGTGCGTGCGTGCGTGTGTGTGTGTGTAACGTGTGTGTGTGTGTGTGTGTGTGTGTGTGTGTGTGTGTGTCGCACGTCGGAGGAGAGTCGTCCGAAACCACAAGTGAGACGAACAAAACCCTGAACAACAGAGGCCACTGAGGCCGCGAGCCACTGAGGCCCAGCACACTCTTATCAAATCGCGGAGCGAAAAGATACGCACAAGTGTGTCATAAAAGGGCTGGGATGCACTCGCCACGAGAACGCATCGGGCCCAGCCCTGGGACTGGGATGCACCAAAAAGGTCCGCATCAGGCCCAGCCCCCTTCCGCCCAGCATCGCACGGATAACTGGCGGGACGACAAAACGTAGCGACGAGGAGCGCCCAGCCCCGCCGCCGCCGCCTGCGGGAGCCGCGCCGCCCGCTCCCGCAGGCCTTCGCCTCACGCCGAGTCGGCCCGAGGGCCTCACCCCGACTTGGCGGGCCGCTGCGCCAGCAACTCCAGCGCGCCACGCGGGACCGTGAAAGACACCTCGATGTTGTCCTCCAAGGTGATCGCGACGAGGCCATCCTCCATGTCGAGGAGGACCACCGCTGTCGCACGCGCGCTGGCGCCCTCGGTGACCCGCACCCGCGCGCCGACGGGCAGGGCGGGGAGGGCGGCTGGCGCCAGCAGCTGTGGAGGCGGCCTGGCACGCCGCTGAACCGAGTCGGCCCACTCGTCCTCAGGGATGCTCATCCTGTCGTCGCCGTCGCCGTCGGCCGCCGCCGCAGGCGCGTGCACGAGCTCCAGGCCCGCTCGCGCAGCTCCAGCGTCGGCGCCTCCGCCGTCCGCGGTCGCCTCCACCTCGACGCCAGGGGCGAGCGTCGCCGCAGCCGAGGGCGCGGTGTCCTCGAGGCCGCACTGCTCCGCCGCCGCCATGCCGTCGCTGAGCTCCATCTTGTCGGCCAGGGGTTGGCCCGCTTCCCGCTTGCCGCCGCGCCCACGCGGGCGCCTGCGCCTCCGAGGGCCCATTGGGGCCTGGGGCTGCGCTGGCGGCGGCACCGGGGCAGCGAGGAGCGCCACGGCCGACCTGATGATGCCATCGGCAGCGCGCAGGAGCCTCGCCGCTGCGAGCTCTCCAGCGCCTCCCGTCAGCCCCGCAGCCGCGTGGACGGCCAGGGCCGAGCCCCGAGCAGCATCCAGCGCGATGGCGCGGGCGTCCCGCTTCGTCGCAGGCATCGGACCGAGGCGGGCGACCGACGGAGGGAAGCCCAGCGGCAGCAGTCTTGAGCCGAAGCAACTTGAGCCAAAATGGCTACGGATGTGTGTGTGTGTGTGTGTGTCTGTGGTGTGTGTGTGTGTGCGTGGCTGCTCGCTCTGCTGTCACACTTGCCGCTGTCCTTCCCCCTGCATTGGGGCCAGATCGAGTACGACCTCGGGTTGCTCGAGGAGGTGGAGCGCGACAAGACCGCCAAGGAGCTCCTGAGCGTCGTGGAGTCATTGAGAGACCCTCTGGTCGACGGAGAATGAACTCCTAAACTTCGAGGTTTGAGGTTTCTGCACGTGCTCGACACTCAAGACTCTTTGGGCCTCGGGGGGGCGCCCTTGTCGCCACTGCCTCGAGCTGCTGGCTGACACATACCCCTGATAGGTAGGGCAGTCAACTTTGAGGTTAACGCCATGAGAGAATCGTGACGGTGGTGTTCCCCGATCTGTTCGGCCCTTCGAGGCCCGCTTGCGGGCCAAGGGCCATGAAGAAATATTCAAGGATGAGAAATTGGTGCCCCGAGGTGAGAACCCCAGGGGTCTGGGGGACGGGGTCGAGGTTTCTAGAGGTCTCAGGCCCAACCCGCCAAAAGAGCTCCCAAACATCCCCAAACCTGCTCTCTTCTCGAACTCATTCTTCTCCTCCTCATCATCTTCCTTCCCCCCGCGCGCGGGAGGTGGGAGCTTCCCTTGTTCCTCGAGCAGGATGAGCAGGATGTTGGGGGGGAGGAGGGGAGGACGGTGACAGTGAGGACAGGGCGGGTAAGCGGAGGAGGATGACTAGGGGGGAGGTGGAGGGCGAGCAGGAGGAGGAGGAGGAGGAGGAGGAGAAGGAGGAGGAGGAGGAGCAGGATGCGGCTGCTGGTCTCTTTCTCCTCGCCCCTCTCGCTCCTCCTCCTCCTGCTGCTGTGTCCTCCCGTGACGTCCCCGCCCGTCCGTTCTCCCTTCACCCTGGGGTCGCCCCCCCTTTTGGTTGTGATGCCGACCTTTTTAAAAAATAGCCCCCGCCTCCCGGCCAGCGATGCTTTGGTGCTGGGACGAGGAGGGGCGGGGGCGAGGGCAGCTCCTGACAAGAATCAAATGTCCATAGTCCTGGGTCCTGAACGTGGGAGACGGCGTGCAGGAGGAGGCGGGACTGCTCGTTGGATTGCTCATTGCGGTTCAAGGCCCCTCATGGCTATGACCGCCCCACCGCGAGCGCCGCCACCCCGAGGGGCCTGCGGGCCAACGCAGCGGGGGTCGGCGGGCCAGCGTCTTGAGGGGGAGACGCTTGCTTACGCGACCGTGCCGAGGTGGAGTGCAGAGGGTGAAGATGGAGATCGGGGACGATGGAGGGCAGGCGGCAGAGGGGGAAGCGGAGGAGGAGGGCGAGGGCGATCTGGGGGACGGGGAGGGTTGGAGGCGGAACCTCTGAGGGATGAGTGGGGGGGGCAGTGGAGGACGGAGCAGGTCCGTAGGGGGGAGAATCGGCGAGTCGGTGCCCGAAATAACGAAGGTGCCATTGGACAAGGGGGACTCATAGATCTTCCAAGAGGGAGATCCGCAGCCTCTCCCATCCGCTCCTCTGCCTCGCGCTGCGACGCAGCATGGCTGCGGTGATATGCAGTGCTCGAAGGTGGAGGCAGCATGTTGGTTGCACGTGCGGAGAAAAATCACAGAGGGGTGTGCAGCAGAAGCGTGGAGGGGGGGAGGTTGTCACGTAGCCTCGTCTCTACCGGGGAGGCGTCGTGACCGAAACTGTGCCCGAATCTCTGCCTCTCTGCCCAGCTGTGACGGGAACTTGCGCCCGACAATTTCAGACCGCACGCGGGTGTGACCGAAATGTTTGGTTTGAAGCCAAGACGGTCACCAATTTCGGTCACATGTTCGGTCTCACGACGTTTTGGGTCACAACTTCGGGCACGTGCTCGGTCACCGATTTTTTTCGGTCACCTACCTTTTCGGCTGATAGGGGCGGGGTGCCATGATGGTTCAGGATGACGGATAAGAATACACAGAGAGAGAGAGAGAACAACACACAAAAAGATGGCGAGGACGGGGTCTTTCGTGTCGGGTCGTGAAGCGGCAGCACGTGCCAGACTTGTCTTGGTCGAGGAGTTGCAGTCACTGCATCGTGCGTGCGGGTACTGCTGCGAGTCTGATTGCAGCCGTGAGGCTGCGCTCTGGGAGCACCGAGGCCGGGCAGCTCGTCATGGTGTGTCCCGAGCTTGGCCGTGAGGTGGTGGGGCCCCGGGGCGGCCGTGGGTGCCAACGGTGCCGTGCGTCTCTTGCCGTGTCCGCGGGGTCCTTGCCTTGAGTCGTTTCTCGGGGGGCGGAGGCCAACCAGCAAGCTGTTTCGAGGGGTGAAGCCCTTCCCCCTCGAGCAACGACAGAATCAGGACGGGAGGTTTGTCGCCATTTTCGGCATCTGGGGGCCCTTGCCGGGCCTCGGGATCGTCAGAAAACGACTCGGGAGGAAAAAATTGTCCTTGGGAATGGGTCGAGACCTCGGAAGTCGACGTTATGACAAAATCATGGCGTCGTGGGTTTGGGAAGTTGGCCACAAGCTCGTTCAGTGGTGCACACCTCCGCGGAGACCGATCGCCCTGGCTAGGCGGTGGTCGCGCGCTTAAGCTGCGGTGCTGCCAGCAGCCGCCCGCTGGTATCCTCCCTCCGACCCTGCAAAATCCATGGGGCCCATGGCCGACGCACCACTCGGCGGATGGAGGAGGGCTTTTTCCCCCATGTGAAAGTGGGGGGGGTGGAGGTCGCGACTACACTTCGTTGCGGCCAGGCAAGGTGGGGATCACGCAGGAGGACGAGGGCGAGGAGGGATAGGAGGAGGGCGCCGATGAGGACAACGAGGGGATCCGGTGGACTTCCGCAGTTATCGCCAAGCGGTTTTCAGACAGGTTTTGTGGAAATTGCACGAGCCAGGGGCCCTCACATCCAGAATATTCAAGCCCGTTGCTCGACAGACACGTGAGCGAGTTGAGAAAGGGGATCGATTGCGCGGACCTTCGCGCGTCAGTTGCCCGCGCAAGGTCGCATTTCGGCGCTCCCTTTTCGACGCGGTTTGCCGCATGAGCCGCCGCGCAAGGATGCCATGCCTTCTCGCGCAAGGCTCCCTTTTTCTGCGTCGCTCACTGGTGGGGTGCTACCGATGACGAGGAGGATGGGAAGCAGCAGCAGCAGGGAATGCCTAGCAGTCCCTATAGAGGCCCGTAGAGGTCCCCAGATGTTCTGGGAGCCCCCAGAGGCCCACAAAGGCCTAGAAAAGTCCAGAACCCTGGGTCCTTGACTCTCCCCCCCTCTTCACAGACGCGCCCTCGCAGCCGCGAAGGCCGCTGAGGGGTACAAGAACCGAGCGCGTAGAGGCCCGGAGGTTGGGGGTTGGCGCGAGGCCCAGAGAGCCCAGTGGCTCTCGTCGGGGATCTCCCCTACAGAAGGATACGGTCGGAAACTGTGATTCAGCGCGTCTCGCCAGGGGCCCACCACGCCTCGCGCGACACTTAGTTAACCACTTCGCTATCCCCAAGCGTCACCGTCCCGCGCCTTTCCAGGCGCCGGGGGCCCACCACGCCTCGCGCGACACTTAGTTAACCACTTCGCTATCCCCAAGCGTCACCGTCCCGCGCCTTTCCAGGCGCCGGGGGCCCACCACGCCTCGCGCGACACTTAGTTAACCACTTCGCTATCCCCAAGCGTCACCGTCCCGCGCCTTTCCAGCCTCCCGCCCCGCCAAGCGGAGCGACACGCTATCCACGAGCAGGGCATAGCGTTTCGCTGGGCCCGCCGCCGCGCCACGCTAAGCAAAGGCTTCTGACCGTGATTGATGTTAGCTCCGGAATCACAGAGGGGACCCTCCTCGTCCTTTCTCCCAGGGAAAACAGCGCTCCAGGCGGCGAACATGTATTCTAAACGCTTCGCGTTATCCCACCAGCCCATCCAGAAACGATGCCCAGACGAGTTGCCATAATCAGGGATTTTGAGGAGAATGCACTGGACTGGGGGCTGGGTAAGACGTCGCACCAGAGGGGAAGGATGGGAGAGGAATCGGAGGTGGAGCAGGAGGAGGAAGAGAGGAGGAGGAGGAGGAGGAGGAGGAGGAGGAGGAGGAGGAGGAGGGCGAGGGGGCAAGTTAGGTGCGCTGGCGTCATATCTGACGTCCTACCCCTCCCTCCCATCCCTTACCATGGCGTAGATATCCTCTCTGTTCGCATCGTCGGATGTCGAGCAGGGCAATGATCGCGAGAGGGTACGCGATGCATGGTAGAGCACGGCATGGCATGGCGTAAGAGAGCCTGGCAGAGCGTAGCATGCCATAGCATGGCGTGGCGTTGCGCAGTGAAGCATTGCATCACAAAGCATTGCAACGCAGAGCATGGCATCGTACAGCGGCGCAGAACACAACACCGCACAGCACGTCATGGCATGGTGCCAAGTTCCTTGGAAGGTAAGTGGGTTGTCTTCGAGAGGTCTGGGCCGGTCTGGAGTCGTGGCTCCATGTCTGGCGCCTTGTGCTCCCCGAAAAGCTCCACACAAGGCGGGGCTGATGGAGAGCATCCGCTGGCTCTGCTTTCCGAAGCAGGAACGGGGCTCTCGCTTGATATTTCCTGGAAGCGACGACGCCCCAAAGTGGGGGGCTTCCGCGGCCCGAAAAATCAACGAATCGACACCGAGTGTGGAATCACTTCCGATGGTTTTTTCGGGGGGGGGGGGGGGGGGTTTTTCTAGATTTTGGGACCTATTTGGAAGGAAGGCCAGCTCTGCAGCGGGAGCACGATTCGGAACGAGCGGACGCGCGGAAGTGAGGCCAGCGCTGCAGCTGGAACACGATTCGGAAAGAGCGGACGCCCGAAGATGAGGCCAGCGATTCAGCGGGAGCAACATGTAATTGTAGAAGGGAGGAGGAACAGGCGGATGAGGAAGTGGAGGAGGAGGATGTGGGCGAGCAGAAAGGTCAGAGGCCTTTTGGATGCATCTCGGAGTCTCTTCGGATTTCTTTCGAGAGGTTCTCGGAATTTTCTTGGAGCGTCTTCAAGGTATCTTGGCTGTCCCGGTGGCCTCTTGAGGCGTCTTGGGTGCCTCTGGGGGGCTCTTGGAGCCTCTTGGGGGTCTCTCAGGGAGCCTTTCGGGAGCATCTTGGGAGCATCGTGGGGGCTTCTTGGGGCCTCCTGGGCACCTCCTGGGACCATCTAGGGATACTTTAGCCTGGGGGGCCATCTTTGGGCCATCACGCTAAACCACTCACGCCCTAAAGGGCTGGTGAGATTATTTTTCCCCCCTCGGCATTGTGACCCCTCACCGGCGTGTCAGTTGTTGTTGCCTGCCATAATTCGCGTAATGTCGAGAAACGCGGTTCCGGCGATCTTGGGCAGTTCAAAGCAATTATTGTTCTTGCCCCCGCAGTTTTTATCCGTAAAACCTTCGCCTTTTACCGCTGGCCCCCTCCATCAGAATGAGTCATGCCAGAGTTATGTTGGGACGCCTGGGCGCCTACTTGAAGCAATGTTGGAACCCCATGCAAGGACGGTTGGTTATCGTGACGTCATTTGCAAGGGATCGTTGCCTCGGGCGTGCGAATCTAATTTAATTTGCCAGGGATCGTCGGCTCGGGGGCGCGAATCTGGCTTACCTTGCAAAGATTGTGGCTAGCGCGAATTCGGTACAATAGAAAACAAAAGTATCCTGGCTTCGGGGGCACGGGTCTGGGGTAATGTACTAACGATTCTGGCCTCGGGAGCTCGAATGTGGTGTAACTTGCAAGGCGTTATGGTACTGGGGCGCGAATCCGGTGTAATTTACAAAGGGTTCTTGCTTCGGGAGCGCGAGCCTGGTGTAATTTACAACAGGTTCTGGCCTCAGGATGGAGAATGTAGTGCAATTTACAAGGCGTTCTGGCCTCGGGATCGCGAACCTGGTAAAATTCAAACGGGCTCTTGCATCGGTAGCTCGAATTGGAGCAAATTTGCAAAAGGATTCTGGCCTCGGGAACGTGAACCTTATCCGATTTACCCAAAACTGCTTCCTCGGGGGCGCGAATCTTATGTATGTTCGCGGGTCCCAGGTCGACTTCTTCAACCTCGCGGCGCTCGTGGGCGAGACCGAGGCCCCCGGCCTTGCCGCCGGCGCCGCCCTGGGCGTCGCTTGAGCACATAGGCGCTGCAGCTTCTGTGCAGCTCTTCCTGAATCCTCTCGCTTCGCATGGACCGAAACGTCCGTGCACGCACACACACACACACAGACACACACACACACACACACATACAGACACACACACACATCACACACACACACACACACACACGCACCCGCACACACGCACACACGCAGGCGCACACGCATACACACAGAGACGCACACACACACAGACACCCACACACAGACACAGACACAGACACCGACACAGACACACAAACACACACACACACACACGCTCTCACACACACCATTGTTTTGCGTCGGCGGCTGGGCAGATGTTGTTGCTCCGGCGATAGGGCATCAGAATCAGTGGGGCGCGCTGGATGCAAATTTGGCCGCAATGCGCGGGAGGTGAGGGGAAGACCCCGGCGCAACGGGAAGAGAGGAAACCAGGCCCGCTCAGGCAAGTCCCGGCTGCGGCGGGGCGGACGCTGGGGGGGGTGGGGGCCAGCCGCGGCGCCGGGCAGCAGCTGGGGGGGGAAGGCAGCCCGACGGCGGCGGGGCAGAGCCGAGTGGGGGAGCGGTGCCACGAATGGGCAAGTATGGAACGTCCAGACCAGCCAGTCAATCTCAGCCCGTAAGAATACCAAAGGGGCTGACGTTGGACAAGCAGCAAACGGCTGCACGGAGAAATGCCTGTCACATGTTGATGCAGTCACCACACCAATGGGGGAGCCGGCGGTGCTGGCGAACCCAGCGGCTAGGCCAAGCGCCGAGATCTGGTGACCTGCGCGGCGCGATGGGAGCGGGAGAAGGGCGGAGCGCTGGCCGCCACGAGTGTGTTGCGATGAGCACGTCAAGAGATGCCGGCATGTAAGCGAAGGGCATGCGACAAAGATGCGGAGCCACGCCATCATGGGGGAGCGGCGTGGAGCTGGACTGGGGAGGGAGGGCGCCGAGATCTGATGACCTGGGAGAGGTCGGCTGACCTGCGAGGCGCGGAATGGGGCGGCCAGGGGGGAGCAGGAGCGGCAGGGAGGGAGCAGCGAGCGAGCAGGCCCACCGGCAGAGCTGCCAAGGGGACCGCACGCTGGGGGAGCCGGACAGGTGTTGGCATGGGCCCAGCGGTCAGGACGGAGAGCGCCGAGACCTGATGACCCGCGGCGCGAAAGGGGGAGCGGCCAGGGAACAGGCCACGAGCGCTTGTGCGGAAGGGGGCGGCCCACCAGTGCAGAAGGGGGAGCGGCCCACAGCGGCCCACCTGTGCGGAAGGGGAGCGGCACACCTGCGCGGAAGGAGGAGCGGACCACCGGCGAGGCGCGGAAGGAGGCGCCTGAGGGGAAGCGGGTGGCCCAACTGTGCGGAAGGGGGAGCGGTCCACTTGTGCGGAAGGGGGAGCGCCGTACCTGCCAGGCGCGCAAGGGGGAGCGGCCAGGGTACCCAAGGGGAGGTACCGCAGGGGCAGCAGCAAGCGATCAGGCCCAATGGTAGAACTGCCGAGGGGACCGCGTGCTAGCATGAAAAGCAGGCACAGGGGGGAGGCCGGCAGGCTTGGGTGGGGGCCAGAAGGCTAACCCACGGTCAATCCCATTATCTGCTCCGTCCCCACACGGGGTGGCCGCGGTATGCGGCCGTGGGCTCTCTGCAGAAAACAGGGGGGGACACCGAATAGGTGTAATGTCGGTTTATGAAGGAGCCCTTCCCGCAGCCAGGAGCGTATTACGTACTGGAAGCGCCCCAGCGCACGGAGGGCCGGCTGCAGCCTCAAGGGGAGATTCAAAGATTTGTCTTCGGGAACGCACAGGGGGAGAGGGGAGGGAGTGCAGACCTCTGGCCCTTGGGAACACCCAAGGTCCAAGGGGGAGCCCTCGATGAGCCAGCCACTCAGGGACCCCGCCGGCGCTTCCCTTAAACGGAGCAGGCGCACGAGAATCAAGGCCGCGACGAGGCCAGGAGGTGGAGGAAGCTGCGAAGGAAGGCGGCATCGTGTCGGCCAGGGTCCCTGATGTCCCCACCACACACGCACGCGCACACACTTGTCCTTCCGACGCGCCAGTGGGTTGCGACCCAGCGGTAACAAAAGTCAAGCATTGGCGCTGCCAGGACAATTTGTCCATACGTGCGGGCACGTGCAAAGAAAACAGCGACACGCATAGACGCAATGTGTCCTCCGCTGGCGATGCGGCACTTTGCAGCCGCGATCTACAGCTTTAAGACGGGCAGCGCCGTGTTGAAGTGCGAACTTGCGTGGAGGACGGCGCTCGAGAGCGAAAGCGGACCCAACCACACACAAACACACACACACACATTCACACACACACACATTCACACACAAACGCACACACACACACACACTCACACACACCCACGCACACCTTTTGGGCGTCGCGGCCCCGCGCGCAGCGACGGGGCGTCGAAAGATCAGAGAAGAGAAACAGGCGCGCGCGTCAAAGGCCGAGCCCCCAAGCCGCTCAGAGCGAGCAGCGCCGTGGCCAGTCAGAGGTCACCCGCATGGATGACCAGGGGTAAGATCAAGATACGCAACGCCAACTGGAGCGAAACGGCGCGCCGCCAGAGCGGGAATACATATATACACACAATCTCTCTCACACACGCGCGCACACGCACACGCACACACACACAAAGACGCACACAAACAACAAAAACATAAGAACGCGCGTACGCGACAACCGCGTCGGAATGAGTATGTAAGCATCGTCGTCATCTTCGGAGGCCCTCCAGCCGTTTCCAGGGGTTTCGTTGGACGCTCTCGGCGGTTTGCTTTTTGGCGGTCTGCCTCTGTCGAGGAGAAGGGGAGGAGGAGGAGGAGGAGGAGGAGGAGGAGGAGGAGGAGGAGGAGGAGGAGGAGAAGGAGCAGGAGCAGGAGGAGGATGAGGATCAGGAGGAGGAGGAGGAGGAGGATGAGGAGGAGGATCAGGAGGAGGAGGAGGAGGAGGATCGCGGCTGGAGCGCGCTTCTGCGGCCTCTGGGCCTAGGGGCGGTTCCTTTTCGTTCCTCGCCTCCGTTCGTCGCCGGCCTCAAAACATGCCTTCCATAGGACGGCCTGCCGAAGACTCGAAGATTCCCCACGGAGCCTCCCAGGCGACCCCCCTCCTCCTCCTCCTCCTCCTCTCCTCCTCCTCCTCCTCTCCTATCCTTATTCCTTATTAGAATATACTCCTACTCCCCCCTCAGGCCGGCAGATAGCGGGCGCATCCGGGTGGTCCCATCCTAAAAAAAACAATACAAAATCAACATTTTTCTTATTTTTTCCTCTCGACATGGACGTCCTGTCGTCCACGGCGATAATCCATTGCAAAAAATAACACAAAGAGCACACGCGCGCGTTCATGTCAGAATCCTACCGAACACCGTGTGTTTGTAAGCATTTCAACATAAAAACATAAAAAAACCCAATGCTTTTTCACAAAAATTGTACAATTTCCCGCCCGGGCTCTCTTGCTGAAATCATAGGAAAACCATAGGAATCTTAAGAATTCTGTCAAATCCAGCGATTTCACGTCATCGCGCGGTGCACTCGCGATGCTCTGTCATGCACCCAGGCCGCGAATCCTGTGCAAAAAATACCACAAAGAGCACACTCGCGCGTTCATGTCAGAATCCTACCGAACACCGTGTGTTTGCAAGCATTTCAACATAAAAACATCAAAAACCCAATGCTTTTTCACAAAAATGCTTTGGGGTGTCCTGTCAGACCGTCGGGCTTCCTCCGGCCACCTCTGGCTTCCTGCGGTGTACCGGGCCATTCTCGACTCGTCTGGCAATGCGTGCGCGGCATTCAACACGCGCTCGCCAGTTCCCGTCGGCAACCGCCATCGCGGCCGCATCAGCTGTACCAAACCGGCTGGCCGGTGTGACTTCGGCCCCCAGTTGTGCCAGCTTTGCTTCTTATGTTGTGGGAGGGCGGGTGGGACTGGGCATGCCATGCTTGACTCGCTCGAGCTGGCTAGCTTGACTCCTACTCCTACTCCTACTCCTCCTCATCCTCCTCGCCCCCCCCCTCCTCCTCCTCCTCCGCCTCCTCCTTGTCCTCCTCCTCCTCCTCCTCCTCCTCCTCCTGATCCTCCTCCTCCTCCTCCTCCTCCTCCTCCTCCTCCTCCTCCTCCTCCTCCTCCGTGGGGTCCCAAGACGGGTTCCCGAGGCCCTTCCGGGCGCACTCGTCCCCGTCCGGCTCGAAGAAGCCTATCAGGCGTGATTGGGAGTCTAAGGTCGTGATTCATTTCACGCCCTCGTTTTTGTTGTTATGTTTCGCTCACGCTGGCAGACGTAGTCCCCTCTCCGTTGTGCCCCCCATTCCCTCACGCTGAGTGTTCTAGTCCCTTCGCTGTGCCCCACTCCCTCTTCCTTCCTTTACTCCTCGACCCCAAGAGCTTCGGGAACCCTTTGGGCCAAAATAGAACAAACTTAGGAACCCCTTCGAACACAATGCTCCTTCCCCCATCCGTCCTCCTCCTTCTCCTCCTCCTCCTCCTCCTGATCCTCCTTCTCCTCCTCCTGATCCTCCTCCTCCTTCTCTTCCTCCTCCTCCTCCTGATCCTCCTTCTCCTCCTCCTGATCCTCCGCCTCCTCCTCCTCCTTCTCTTCCTCCTCCTCCTCCTCCTCCTCCTCCTCCTCCTCCGTCTCCGCCTCCTCCTCCTCCCCATCCTCCCCTCCGACGACGACGGCGACGACGATGCAGAGCCGCCGAGGGAAAGCCTCGATCGCCGTCCCTGGGCGCCCTCCCGCAGGCGTGCTCGAACCCTCGGGCCCAAGGTCACCCGTGGGGTCGCAAAGATAATCGCGTTTCGCGCGTCGCAGTCTGGGCCGGCGAGTTGCCCTTCTCCAGTGCGGCGGCGCGAGGGCGCGAAGATCGCGCGTCGCGCATCGCAGAGCGCGGTGTGCGAAGTTATTCAGGTGACCCAGGAACCTCTGTGCCCGAGCCACGACGGCCGCCGCCGCCGCCGCCGGCGGCGGCGCTGTCGACGTACGGCGGCGATCTCTTTGCGCGCCTCCCGACAGCGCCGCGACGACACCGTCGCCCGCCTCGGCGCGTACGCGGACAAGATCGGGGTGGACACGCTGCTGATCGAGTCGAAGCTGACCGAGGCGCTGGAGGAGCGTGGGCCGCTGAAGGGAGGGGGAGGAGGAGGAGGAGGAGGAGGAGGAGGAGGAGGAGGAGGAGGAGGAGGAGGAGGAGGAGGGAGGAGGAGGAGGAGGAGGAGGATGGGGAGGGGGAGGGGGAGGAGGCGGAGGCGGAGGCGGAGGCGGAGGCACTGGCGGAGGCGGAGGCGGAGGCGGAGGAGGAGGAGATGGTGGAGGAGGAGGAGGAGGAGGAGGAGGCGGAGGCGGAGGCGGAGGAGGAGGAGGAGGAAGAGGAGGAAGAGGAGGGGGGAGAGAGGCGAGGATTGAGGACCGTGAGGCCTTTGAGCGATTGGTGGGCGTGCTCGGGGGGATCCCCAGAGGCAGAAATAGGCCTCCCAGAACCACCGCGAGCCTCGGAGGAGGCCTCGCAGAGGCTCCATGTTAGCTTTCGCAGGCCTCCGAGGAGAGGGGGGAGAGGGAGGCCCGGGGCTCCCCCAGGAGGAGGAGGAGGAGGAGGAGGAGGAGGAGGAGGAGGACCAAGAAGATGACCAGGTGGAGGAGGAGGAATGACAGACAGCAAGCAGCATCTCTCTCCACGGCTGCAGCAGCGGCGGCGGTCGCGGCACACGGCCGGGAGCAGGGATGCAGGGCTAGATGGGCAGGGCAGGAGGGGCAGCGGGAGCAGCACCGATGGCCGCGCGTCGCCTGCGTGACCCGAACACGCGGCGGTCCGCCCTGCGTGGGAGTGAGGTAGCAGGGCCTGGAGCTCCGCGGGAGGAGGCGGGAGGGCGGGCAGGAGGCAACGAGCACGGGAGCGCGAGCGGCAGGAGGGCGATGCCAAGAACCAAAGTGAGGCGGGCGAGCTGTCAGGAGGCTGGGAGTACCCGGTGTGGCTGGCGCGGGCGGGAGCCGCACGTCCGCAGGCCTGGCTGGAGGCTCGAGGACAATGAACTTGATGCCTTTCTGTGGTTTCTGCCTGTTTGCAGGCCGCCGCCAGCCCCCCCCCGCGCTACAGAGAGCAAGCAGCAGAAACAACAACGAATGGGCACAACGAAATGACAGCCTCCCGGCAGAATGCCTCAAAACCAGCCCTTTGCACAGCTCGCGATGGGGGGGGCACGATGGGGGGCCTTGGGGGCCGCGATGGGGGCTATGTTTAAGAGTCCACGCTGGGCCACCGATCGCAGCCCACCGCTTCCCCCCAGGCCCCGATGGGCCCCGATGTGGGCCTTCGTGGCTGTTTAGGGGCAAGTGCGACTCAGCACGAGAAACCGAGGCTCCTGAGGAGGGGGCCGACCGTCAGCAGTGCAGCCGATGTGGCCGACACGGGGTGAAGGCTGGGCGTTGCTGCCCCGCTGCGGAGCGGCCGCGCTCGAAGAGCGCCGCCCGAGGACAGGAAGTGGAGAGCCCGAGGTCGTGGTCTGCTGCCTCGGCGTCGTGTGTTTTGGCTAGGTGCGCCCGAGCTTGGGGGACATACGATGGCAGGAAGAGAGACGTTTGGAGGTCCGCTCGGATTTCTCGGATCGGCGCTGGACCCCCCCTCCCGGCGCCCGCGGCGCGCCAGGCGAGGCGCCGGAGGCGCCGCCAGGCGGGCCCCAGTGCCGATCTGAGAAATCCACGCGTATCTCTGCCAGTTAATGTTTCTTCAATCGCTTCGCTCATTCCGCCAGCCCGTATGGTGCCATCGCAATCGTTTGCTTGCGCGTTCGTGGCCTCTTGGAGGCGTTTGGGGGCCTCTTGGGGTCTCTTTTTGGGCCTCTTCGGGGCCTCGTGCGGCTTCCGGGGGGCCTCCTGGGCCCTCTTGGCCTGCGAATTTCATTTCTTGTCTCCCTGCGAGGTCGGGATAGGAGGCCCCCTCCCCGCCTTCCCGCCCTGCGGCTGGCCGAGGAGCTGCAGTCGGCCTACGCGGTGCTGAAGTCGCGGGCGGGGCGCACCGCCAGGCTGGCGGGCACCGCAGACTAGCTGTTTGTTTGTTTGTTGTGTGTGTGTATGTTGTTGTGTTTGTATTTGTGTTCGTGTTCGTGTGTTCGTGTGTGCGTGTGCGTGTTTTTTTTTTTTGTGTGTGTGTCTGTGTCTGTGTCTGTGTCTGTGTCTGTGTCTGTGTCTGTGTCTGTGTCTGTGTCTGTGTCTATGTGTGTGGGCCCCTCGGGCGCGGCCGTGCCTGTAGACGTCGAAGCCGTAGCGGCAGGACTCCCGTTGGTGCAGGTTCGGGTTGAACGGTTGGGAGACGGCTTGGAGACTGACGCAATTTGGCGTAATTTGGCATCGCTCGGACGTGTGCATGTAGCCCCGGCGAGGACCTTCGAGGAGTATGTTTGGTCATCTTGGGAAAGCACCAGCACGACATCGAAACATGCACGGAGAATGGACGTCCGAGCGATGGCGAGGTAAACTATTGATGTGGGCCTCGGGCACAGCCGTGCTCGCAGACGTCGAAGCCGCAGCGGTGGGAGTCCTCGTGCTGTAGGTCCAGGTTTGGAGACGGCTGGGACACTGAGGCAAGGCCCTATTGGTCGGGAACTTTTGGCTATCGTGTCGTTCCGCCGGTTCTGGCCCACCACGCTGCGGTGCGACACGCCACCCACTTCCCGACCCCCAGGCGTCAACGTCCCGAGTATTTCCGAGCCTCCCGCCCCGCGGAGCGGAGCGACACTCTATCCGCTTGCAACGCATCGCGTTATCCAGAAGTTCTCGACCGGAAGCGGGGCTGCCAGGCATAGCAGCATATTCCGGCGTGATTCATCTCAACGCGCCTGTCGTGCATGAGCCTTGAAGGTTCCTCCACTGCCCGCGCACCGCACAGGCGTGTCTGACCCAGTCGCCTGGGCGTGCTAGTTCTGGCGCTGCTTAGATGAGGAGGAAGAGGATGGGTGGAGAAGGCGGATGTTGTTGCCGTCGTTTGGATCGGAGCGTATGTATTCCCAGTGGCGACGGACTAAGACAGTACCAACCATGGTCGAGATCGCAGTGGTTGAGCCACAGTTATGTGCTGGTTGCCGAAAGACAGGACACACTGAAACTCGCGCTAAATAAGTTGAGCCCGTAGCGGTTGAAATCAACATTGTCTTGGATTCGGCAATGCTTGTGCATTAGACGGCCATGTTCAAAGCAAGACATGTTGTATCAGGAGCTGCGCCAGGATTCCTCACAGATAAGTCGAACTAGGAATCACCGTTGAACTCGTGAGACTGGGGAGGGTCGGCTCCACGCCGCGTTCTTGCACGTCTTTTGCCGGAGTGCGGTAGCAGGGTTCTACAACATCTTGTCTTGTGTTTTGTCTTCGGCGTGTATTGCGCTCTTCTTCGGGAGCGGCAGGGCAGCAGTACACTAGTTCGGGTTTTCGCCACCAGGGGTGAAATTTCGAGCAGGCGCATTTGGACCTGGTGTACTTGTGTGTGGTTTTGCCGTGCTGCTGTCTTGCAGATCATGTGCGCTGCAGTATAGTATGTCCTGCGTCTTCGTTACTAAGCTTGAGCTTCAGAATTGATAGGGGAGTGGCGTCGGGGGGTCCGCGGAGGGTGTGATGCCCAGAGCGCCAAGCACAATGAGCAGAACAGTAGTTGTAGTTGCATTCGGCCCGTATGTCTGTTTTTTGTTTGGGGGGGAGCTGGGAGATGTAGACGCCTTTGCGGTGCGTTCAGCTGCATGCCAGCTGGCTGGTCTAGCTGGTCTGGCTGGCTCGCTGGCTCTCGCTCCTGGCTGGTCTGGCTAACCTCATGCCCGTGAGAATAAACACTAGGGGATAATAAAGTTCGGGGTTCAGGGAGAGATAATAAAAGTAGCCCAGCAGACCTCAGCATAATCTCGAAGTAAGAGATGATCCAGAGGAGACCAAGCCGAGCACGTTTTGTGACAATCTCGAGTTTCAAATCTATTAGATTTTATTTACAAGCGCGTTATGAAAATTGTTGTTTGTAAGTGCTCGTGTAGGGTAGCTCATGTGCCTCAATTTCCATGGATAATCAACCCCAGAGATAAAAAAGCTCAGGCGAGCGCGGGGACAGAGAGAAATATAAAAGAAGAAGAATACAGTAGAAGAATAATAAGAAAGAAGAAGAAGAGGATAATAAGAAGAGGACGAAGAAAGGAAAAGTCCCAAGTTCCAAATCTATCAATTTTAATTTACAAACGCTTTATGAACATTCATTTTTTAAGTGCTCGTGTAGGATAGCTCATGTGCTCCCCTTTCCATGGATAATCAACCCCAGAGATAAAAACGTTCAGGCGCGCGCGGGGATACATACATACATTGGTTTCGCTTGACACATCCTGAAAAGTGTGATCGCTTCGCTTGATGTTGCTATATCAACATCGCTTGATGTTGCTATCTCAACATAGCGTTTCGAGGTGATAATGAAGTTCGGCCTCAGCGCTCGCCGCCCAATTTGAATTTTGCATAGGGCGACGATAATCAACTCTAAACACTGAAGGGGGGGGTCCCTTTATTATCATCGGCATGCGGTTAATGAGTCAAGGCGTGGCTGGTCAATGGCTGGTCTGACAGTCTCTGGCTCGACTGGCAGTCTCACTGGTCTAGAACTCTGACTGCTATGCCTAGTGACGGCGCGGGATGAGGTGAAGGAATGGAAGAGGAGGAAGGATGGAGAGATGATATGAGGATGGAGGTCCGGCTGGTCTCGCTGGCTCTGGTAGGTCTAGCTGGCCTGACTGGCTCTGCCTGGTCTGCCCAATCGCGGCTCAGGATGGACGAGGAGCTGCAGGGAGTGGAGAAAAAGAGATATAAAGAGAAGGCGAGAGAGAGAGAGAGAGACAGAGAGAGAGGCGCAGAGGGTAGTGACACCCACAGTGGACGCCTCGCTGATTGCATCCACGGCCTCCCCAGGGCGGAACCAGCGTCGTCAGGGTTCGCGGGGTTCGCCTGGCCGTCCACGCCAACAAGCACGGGGAGCCGGTGGCATCGCTGCCCGAGGAGCAGGAGGAGCGGGATGAGGGGGCAGGTGGAGCTGGAGCAGCAGGAGCGGGGGCGGCAGGACAGGCGGGGACGAAGGGTGGGGGGCAGTAGCAGGAGAGGTGGGGACGAGAAACCGCGGCCGGAGGCAGAGGAACAGGGGAGGAGGACGATGGGGACCGAGGGGCGATGGAGACGGCGAGGCGGGGGGGGGAGGTGGAGCGAGGAGTGCAAAGGCGGGGGGCACCGAGGAGGAGCAGGACGAGCCAGAGGAGCAGCAGGGCAGGAGAAGCAGACGTGGAAGGGCGAGGGGGGACAGCATTAAAGGAACTGGCGGGGAAGAGGGTGCTAGCCTCCGCGTCACAAGGAACACGTGACCTTGCCAGAAGGATGAGGAGGGCGACGAGGAGGAAGACGACGACGACGACGTCAACGAGGGAAAACAGGAGGACGCAGAGGAGGAACAGGGAGGGGACAGATAGAAAGAGAGGGAGGTCTGAGAGTGATGAAGGGAGGAGGGGGAGAATAAGGAGAAGGACAGAGAGAATGAGCAGGCAGTGTTCTGCCAGAAGCTGGCATGGGGCTGGAGGAGTTGAGAGACGACGACGGCAAGGAGGAGGAGGAGGAGGAGGAGGAGGAGTTGAAGGAGGACAGGAGAGGTGGAGAAGAGGAAGGAGTGAGAGGTGGAGAAGGAGGTGGAGTGGGGAAGAGGGTGGGAAGCAGCAGCAGGAGCGGAGTGGAAGGAGGAGGATGAAGAGGAGAAGGGGCGGGGAAGGGGGAGGAGGAGGAAGATGAGGACGAGTGCGCGATTCTGCAATAAATCCTCCAAGGTTCCTCATCGTAGGCCCCTACAAGGATTCATTTTCACTGAGGCGAGTGCCCCGTTGGAAGACAATCGTTTGAAAGTCCTGAACTGTACCAGGACACCTTTCCTGGGATTCCAACGCCGCGTATTAATTACCGCTGTTATTGCGACTGGACGGTCTTGATTGAATCGTACCAGAACGCCATTCCTGGGACTTCAACACCACGAATCAATGTAATTGTTGCGTCCTGATAGTCCGTCCGCAAGTTGGGAAGGTGGATGTGCGTGGCGTTGAGGCGAGAGGCATATGTTTAAAACGACCCGCCTCCCTCAGTGAAATTGTTGTAGCTCTTGAGCTTCATGTCATGATCATAAAATCGTGCAGAAGTCTCCGGCGCAACGCCCAGCCCGCCTTGTCAATCAGCCTCGGGGTGCGACAGGGGGAGTTATCTTTAAATAAAGGAATGGGGCAGGCAAGGATCGGCCGCCAGCCGGGAGGAGGGTAGCTCAGCAGGAGGAGTGGAGGAAGGGAGGAGGAGAGGAGGGGGGAGGGGGAGGAGGGGGAGGAGGAGGAGGAGGAGCAGGAGGAGTAGGAGGTGGCGTTGGTGAGGAGCATAAGTCAGAAAGACATGTATCGGATCGGGAGGATGGTGTTGGGAGAATTGATCAGATCGCCCGTGTTCTCGCGCAAGTTAAGTGTGTTTATTGCATAGTCGTGTCTTGTATTTCTCTCCATCCCCTTCCTCCCAACACAACACTTGTGTTTCTCAAGAAGGAGGAGGAGGAGGAGGAGGAGGAGGAGGAAGAGGAGGAGGAGGAGGAGGAGGAGGAGGACGTTGCCACCAGTACGCGGCGGCTCAAGCAAGCCAACTTTTGTCCAACGTATAAATGGGGGAGGAGGAGGACGAGGAGGAGGAGGAGGAGGACGATGCCACCAAGACGCGACGGGTCAAGCAAGCCAGCGTTTGCCAACGTACAAAAGGGGAAGGAGGAGGAGGAGGAGGAATAGGAGGAGGAGGAGGAGGAGGAGGAAGAGGAGGAGGAGGAGGAGGACGAGGAGGAGGAGGAGGAGGAGCAGGGGAAGGAGGAGGAGGAGGAGGAGGGGGAGGGGAGGAGGAGGAGAAGGAGGAAGAGGAGGAGGAGGAGGAAGGCAGAAGGATGACGAGGAGGAGAAGGGGGAGGAGGAAGAGGCAGGGCCGGGGTCCTCGTCGCCGGTCCTGCCTGTGGCCTGGCCTCTCGCCGCGGGCCGCCCCTCGGTCGCTCGGGGCCCGAGCGGGGCGGCACCGGAGTCCCAGCCGCCAGCTGCGCGGAGGACGGAGGCACCAGACTCCGCAAGTAGGCGCGCTAAGGGCGACGCAGGCAACGGCGAATCGCAGACAATTGTTCTCCCCCAACCCCGACTTTCCGACGAAAGATGAATCCCTTTAGAAAAGGAGGGGAACCCTGGGATACCCCAAGGGAGCTATTCAGACGCATCCCTGTCGAGGATGGACGCCCCCCCATCGTGTATCCCAAGGTTTGGCCCCAAATTGTTGATCCATTCGAAAACCCCACAATGCCTGGGATAAAGGTCGACATATTCCCTGGTAGCGATGTAGGCTTCGGCATTGCAGGTGGGGGTGGTTCGTGGCCTCCCCGATTGTAGGGCAGCGTGGTTCGTGACTTCCTACGACTCTCCATGCCGTCTTTGCCCGATGCATTCGCGCGTCTGACATGAAGGAACGAGTGGCTCGTGTTTTCTTACAAGTCGATATGATTTCCAACATCACCATTAACCAACATCGCCGTTAGCGGGGCCGTTAACCAACATCGCTGTTAACCAACATCGCCGTTGACCAACATCGCCTTTAACCAACATCGCCGTTGGCGTGGACAGACCTGCCTGCAGGAGGCTGTTTGAAAGTCATGAAGCATAACACAACTCGTGCCCTAACTTAGGTCATCGGTTTTTAAGGTCATCACTAAACACGTGGGTGGTTATGTGGTTTCGTCTGAGACATGCGCAAAATAGAATCCGATCCCCAAGTTTGTGGCCCTCCTAACTGAAGTCCCCTCCCAAAGGATTAGGGGTATTTCGATTGCTCCTCAAGTGGGGTCTGGCGATAGCTCGATCTATAGGGTCCGCCCGACCCCCCCCTTCCTCCCAGATCACCTGACCTTGCCGGTTGCGCACGCTCGAAGGGGGTACGCAGTAATGGTGCGCGCGGGCATACGCGAGACTGCCCAATGCGAAACGGTTACCTGGATTATCGGCCGTCACCTCCCTCCCCCCTCACCCCCACCCCATCGGCCAGGACGACGGCGGCGAAGCCAGCGGCGACGACGGGGACTGCTAACACGACGGCGGCCACGGCGACGAGGTGACGGGCGCGTGACGCTGGCCCTTTCTGCGAGGACGGGCGCGGCCGGCATTCGGCAGTTGCTTGGGAAAACGAGACGCGGCATCGTTGTCGCCGCCATCGTCGTCCGTCGTTCCCGTCGTCGTCCGTAGTCCATCGTCGGCCGTCGTCCGTCGTCTGTCTTCGCCGCCGTCGCCGCCTCCACCGTCGTCGCCTCCGTCGACGTTGTCCTCCTCCTCCCCATTTCCGCTGTCGTCGCCTCCGCTGTCGCCGACGTCGTCGTCGTTTGTCGTCTGCCGTCCGTCGACCGCTGCCGCCGCCGCCATCATTGTCGTCGTTCGTCCCTGGGGCGAGGGGGGAGGGGGGCCCTATTCCCATCCCGCCTCGCGAGTGCCCCAAGAGGTGGCCGCTGCTGCGGATGCTGAGGAAGGAGGGCCTGATCAAAGCCCGGCTCGCCGTGGTCGCCCCGCTACCGCCCTGGGCCGCCGCACCTCCTTGTTGAATTATGCCGCTAATGGTCGCGACTCTGCAGAAGAAAAATGACTGTCAGGAATTTTGGCTTAGCGTGTCGCACCGCGAGCCCTGGCCCACCACGCCGCGGCGCGACGCGCGATCCACGTCCCACTTCCAAGCGCCAACGTTCCGAGCTTTGCCAGCCTCCCGTCCCGCTCCGCGGAGCGAAACGCCATCAGCTCGCACGGCGTGTCGTGTCGCCAGGGCCGCCCCAGCGACACGCTAGACAAACATTCCTGACCGTGATACAGAACCTTTCGGAGGGCCGAGCGGATTTCTTGGGTCGGCGTTGGGCACCCATCCCCACCCCCCGCGCGCCGGGGCAGGTGTGCGGGGAGGGTGCACAGCGCCGACCCAAGAAGTCCGCCCGGACCTCCGCGAACGTTTTTTGCCCGTGTATCACAGGGTCGTGGGAAGTGCCAGCATTGCCAGCGCTTCTTGGCATCGCCCGGACTTGTGCACTTTTTCTCGGCGAGGGCCATCGAGGAGCAGATTGGATCGTCTTGCATAAAAATGCACGCACGAAATCGAACATTGCAGGGGGGAACGACGTCCGAGCGAGGATTACTGTTTCGAAGTATGGAATTGCCCAGCCATCACATCCCCCGGTGGGCCAGGAGGGCCCTGTGGCGGCTTACACAGCCCAAGATCGAGGAAGAACATGCCCCAGATGTTTGATCGCAAGACCTGTGCTCCCTCTCGCCCCCCATCGGGCTCCCGACGCGCCAGCCTCTATAGGTTCTTGCGAGCCAACCCCAACAGTGGAAGCTGAATATCTTTTCGACGCCCTTATTGGCCGACTGAGGTCCCACCAATAGTGGATAATTATTTTCTTCGCTGCAGCCGCCGCGCAACAACGACGACGACGACGACGACGACGACGACGACGACGACGACGACGACGACGACGACGACGACGACGACGACGACGACGACGACTACCGTTACGATTACGACCACGATACGACTACGGCCACGATTGCGATTACGACCACGATTACGACGACCAAGAAGGAAGACCAGGAGAGGAAGAGGAGGAGGAGGAGGAGGAGGAGGAGGAGGAGCAGAGTTGCTTCACCAAACAGGGTGGGGAGGCCCTCCAAGCTGAAGTCCTCCGGAGTTTGGTGGGAGTGGGAGGACCTTCAGACTCGAGACACGTCCCGGAAGGCGCATGCAGAGCTGCCCCTCGCGCCACGTTCGGCCTCGGGTCTCCGGGGCTCTTGGGCCCCGGGCCCTCAAGAGACGATCTGGGGGACGGGAGGCCACGAACACATACACACAGGCTCCGATGAAGTTTGCATGTGCCTTCAGGGAGGGCGGCGGTGTGTAAAGTCGTTGTCTCTCGGTGGTGGTCTCGACACCGTCACCGGCCCCTGAGGCCCACGAACGACCCATTGGCCATTGGAGGGTGTCTGTGAATGCCAGGGACTCCAGGCAGAAGACCGCGTTCTCGGAGGCAGGTTGCTTGGCCCTTTTGCCAGCTGCCGCCCAGGGGCCAGCCAGCAGGCTGCCAGCCGCAGGTCTGTGCGAGACCCCCGCCCGAGGCATCCGCGCAGCACGGGGCAGGTGCAGAAGGCCGGCGGAAGGCGGCGGAAGTAAAGCCGAGGGCGGCTCTATTGACGGGAATGCCAGCGGAAGCAAAAGTTGGCCATCCAAGAGATGCACACTTTTTTTTTGTTGGGTTTGGGGCTTCTGGAGCGGGCCACGTGAGCAGAAACGCTTGAACGGGTTCGAATGCGCGGACATTCGCGCGTAAGCTGCCCGCCTAAGGTCGCCCGTGAGCGCCCCCGTCTCCAATGAAGCGTGCCACGCTGGCGGCCCGCGTAAGTCACCGCGGAAGGTCGCTCTTTGCGTCTCGCGTGAGACCCGTTTCTTTCTCGTCGCGCACGTGGTGTCAGAACTCAGCGCCCACGTCTTGGCAACGTGAGCCTGCGCCCTCGCGCGGCCGTGGCCCCCGCTCCCCCGCCCTGTCGCGGGGCCCGCGGAGGTCGCGAAGAAGAGGGAGCTGCAGACCCACGCGCGGCGGCGCGCGCAGATGGCGATCCTGTCCGTGATGAGAGACGCCGGGGACGGCCGGGCCTGGCAGGGGGAGGGGGGGGGAGTCGCAGGCGACGATTAGGGCGAGTATCCCAGGGGCGGGCATTACACATAGTCGCTGGGGAGCCTCGCCGAAGGCATGGACCATCGGCGCCCTTGGATACCTCCCCTGGGCTATTCGCCCCCAGCGTCGCCCCAGGGAGAGGACTCGGCTACCCAGAAGAGTGACCCCTCGCTGGAGTGACCTGTGGTGGGCGCTGCAGGGCCAAGCCCAAGCACGCAGGCCGCCACTGTCTCACCGCACGCAACGGCCGGCAAGCCGCGCACCAAAGGTCACTTTTGCCTACATCCCTTCTCGAATGAAGCGCAAGTTTCTTCCACGACGTGGCGACGTACCTCGACACCCAAATTCCAATGTTGACGCCGAAGCTGGTGACTGCCATCCTTTTGTTGACTCAGCGGGCCGCGTTGCGCGCGTCCACCCAACACTGAAATTCGGGGGCGAGGGGGTGGGATAAGAACCCGTGTTGCATGTCGAGGAGGGTTGGCCACTCCTTAGGTGTAGCCGCAGGACTGGAAGGCGGGCCCCCGTGGCCTCCATCGCCCCGCTGAGGTCCAGGCGGGCTCCAGGCCTCCCACGCTCACCACGAAGCATGCGGGCCCCGGGAATTGCCGCTGTCGTCGTGCCCTTGGAGCCGTCCCTGGACTTCGGGGCCGTCCATCCGACAGTGGCGAGGCGTCCTGGTCTGCCCATGGGCTCACCAGAGAAGGTTCTGAGAACCTTTCGCGGTTTGCACGGAGGGTTCCAGAAACACGGTTGGTTAAGACCGTCTCGGTTTAATGCATCGGCCTGGAGTGCTGGGAACATTGTGTTCATTGCTTGCATGGTGTGATTGTGAGAAGATTTCGTGGTAGGCCTATGGGGATGCCGGGACGGTCGGTCCCTGCTCAAGTCAACTAAGCGATTCAGGATGAACAGCTGTTCCCTGGGCCAGGCCCCGGCGTCCAGGATCCGACGCCCTCAGGACCCGTTTCTGTCAGACGAACCACGTGGGGCCTGAGGATCGCCCATGAAACGCCGATGCGTCCGCGATGCGGCGCTATCTGGGCTTCGAGTTTCTGAATCCCGTCTTCGCTGGCACATCGGCGGTACATCGGCGGTGCTGCGCGATCCTCCGCCCCAATCTGCTCTGGCAATAATGAAGGCATATGATTAAAAAACATTTGAGGGCGGACGTTTAAAAAAATAGTTTCGCCGGCCTGGTTGGGCCCACATAAGGGGGGGAGGGGGCGCCGCCCACGGAGGGCCCCCCCAGGGCGAACAAGTAAAGTTCTCCGGGGGACAATTATGGTTGCCCCCCCGGCCGTCTGGAGGGCCAGGGGGGGGGCGAGGGCAGGCAATTCGGAGCGGGGGGGGTCGGCCCTTCCCTCCTCCCTCCTCCTTCCGCCCCTCCTTCCTCCCTCCTCCCTCCGGCCTCCCTCCTCCCTCAATTCCTCCTCCCTCCTCCCTCCCTCCTGTCTCCTCCCTCCTCCCTCCTCCCTCCTCCCTCCTCCCTCCCTCCCTCCTCCCTCCCTCCTCCTCCTCCTCCTCCTCCCTCCCTCTCTGTATCCCTCCCTCCCTCCCTCCTCCCTCCCTCCCTCCTCCTCCTCCCTCCCTGTCTCCTCCCTCCCTCCTTCTTCCTCCCTCCTCCCTCCCTCCTTCTTCCTCCCTCCTCCCTCCTTCTTCCTCCCTTCTCTCCTCCCTCCCTCCCTGTCGTAGTAGTCGTAGTAGTAGTAGTAGTAGTAGTAGTAGTAGTAGTAGTAGTAGTAGTAGTAGTAGTAGTAGTAGTAGTAGTAGTAGTAGTAGTAGTAGTAGTAGTAGTAGTAGTAGTAGTAGTAGTAGTAGTAGTAGTAGTAGTAGTAGTAGTAGTAGTAGTAGTAGTAGTAGTAGTAGTAGTAGTAGTAGTAGTAGTAGTAGTAGTAGTAGTAGTAGTAGTAGTAGTAGTAGTAGTAGTAGTAGTAGTAGTACTAGTAGTAGTAGTCCCTCCTCCCTCCCTCCTCCCTCCTCCGTCCCTCCTCCCTTCTTCCTCCCTTCCTCCTCCTTGGAAAAATCGAGAATCTTCAGGGGGAAAGGGGGGGACGATTAAAGTTGCTGGGGGGGGGACGATTAAAAAATCAGTTTCGGCCCCCAGATTCTAGTAGTACGCCCAACTCTTCACGGATAGGGCCCCCCGGGGGAGGGGGGGGGGGGTACTTTTTTAATCATATGCTCACATTATGTTAATCTTTGATCTGGAACACAAGTCTGTGTACAACTACGATATATAGATCTACCAATCTATCTATATATCTATCTATCTGTATATATACATACATATTTATATATCTATATCTCTCTATAGATCTGTATATAAATCTATATCTATATATCTATATACCGATCGATATATATATATATATATATATAAGACTATATACATGTATATATCTATCTATCTATCTATCTATATATCTATATTTCTGTATATCTATCTATCTATCTATATATCTATCTATCTATCTATATATCTATATTTCTGTATCTATATATATATATATCTACTTATATATGTGTATATATATATATCCATCTATATATACATATATATAGATATATATATATATATATCGATCTATCTATGTCTATATGTATGTATGTACGGTGTTGTTTCTCACTTCTTTCAGCCTCGGGAGTGCCGTCTTCAGGTCCCGGTGCCGTCAGACATGATCTGGGACGAGGCGGCTCTGGGGCCCGCTCATTGGAGACAAAGATCGGCGCACTGGAGGTCCGGGAGCAGTGTTCGGTCGCTCATACACTGTCCCCGCGGCCTGCCTGCCCAGGACAACGAGGCGTTCAAGGAGAAGGCTTCAAGCGGAGTCATGGACGTGCTCACGCAGGTGGTGAAGGACTGGCGCTGCTGCCGCGCGCGCGCGTGCAAGGGGCCAAGCATTAGCAGCGCGTGTGCGCGCGCGAAAGCTTTGCCAAGAGCCGCGCGCGTGGGCATCGCAGGTAGACGACACGTCGGCGGCCCCTTTCCGTACCCGTCTTGGTGGCCGTTGGGGGCCGGCCTGGCCATCTCGGAGGCCGGCTTGCGGCATTTGGGGCCAGATTGGGCCCGCCTTTGTTGGCGTCTTGCGCTGGACTTGATGCGGCTTGCGAGGGTTTTGTTCGCCTTGTGGTTGATGTCCGCAATTGGCGCAGTCCCTACGGGGGGTGAGGGGCCAGTGGGAAGTTTTCGGCAGGACCCCGTGGCACTTTACTTAGAACTCGGCCCGCCAGGCACCCCTTCGATGAGGCGAGAGGTTGCGGCGGATCGAAGACGCATGCAGTGCATGACCGTCCCCCCCGCTGTCTTTTAGAGACGCTTGTGTCGTGACACGCCGAGTGAAGTTCTTGCATCTTATCCGCGCATTCTCACCCTACGTGCTGACTGTAGTGCGCTGCGCGGTCCCCAAGCCGTTGGGGGAACCACTCTGGGGGGCACTAGGCAGGGGCCATCTGGGGCCGTTTGGGGCTGTCTTGGGATTCCTTGCGAGCCTTTTGGGCCTTTGGGGTAGCCTCCTGGGACCTTCTTGGGCCATCTTTGAGCTCTTTGGAGCCGTATAAAAAACCTCTTCGGTTGGCTGGCGCCTTCGGAGGCCGTATTGAGGGCCTTACTAGATCAAGCAATCTCGTCTGCCTCTTGAGGCCCTCCTGGGGTCCGGTGGAGTTTTTTAGGCCGTCTTTCGGAAATATTGGGCCATCTTGTTGATAGATCCGGCCCTCTTGGAGCCCTCTTGAGCCACGTTCAAGGCCACTTGGGCCATGTTGGGTGGAGTTGATGTCGACCAGGGCAATTTTGCAGGCTCGCGTGGAGCCATTTTGGACAGAAAAGCCCACAAAGTGTTTTCGATACAATATTCAAGAGGGCCGGCCGAAGACCAGTGACACTTTCTGGAAGGGCCCAACTCAGTTTTATGTCGACATGCCACAAGCCCCTGCGAATAATCTACAAGAGGCGGCAAATCCATCAGAGCTCGCTCCATATCGCCACCGTGCCTGGCTTGGGGGATCTATGCTCACCGGGAGCGATTGAAAGCGAGAAAGAACGCTTTCTCGAGGGACACGGTTGGGATACGGTGATTTCTTGGAATCTTGGCCTCTCTGGGGCTTGTCGGGGGGGACTTGGGGGCCACTAGAGGCTCTCGTGGCTCGTGGGGTCCTCCTACGGCTCCACTGAGGGGCAACACGGCCCAAGAGACTCCCGGACGTGTCCGCAAGACGACTCTTGGGCCATCTTGCGGCACGTTGGAGGCTGGGATTCCCAACTTCGGGACGAAACGCAAATAGGGTCGACTGCGCGGGCATTCGCTCAGAAGTTTCCCGCGTGCGGTCGCGCGTGCGCGCCCTCGTGTGCACGCGGTGTGCCGCGCTAGCGGCCTGGGTAAACTTTCGCGCGAGCTCGGCGTGCCCTCGTGCGTAAGACCCTGCTTCCTTCGTCGCTCAGCATGTGCTGACCGCCTGTCGGAACAGCCCTCGCGACAAGACCCAGAGGCGGCAGGGAGGCGCTGGTGCCGCCCCCGAGCGAGGGTTCCGTGACCCCTCGAGACCCCCCCCTCCCTGAGCCTTTTCGAATGATCTTGAATCAGGGATTCCAGTGCCCCCTCGCTGTGGACCAGTGAGGACCGAAAGGCCCGAGGGCACTCCACCACCTGAGCGACAAGAGAACACGGGGTCGACTGCGCCGACATGGGCGCGTAAGCTGCCGGCGTATGGTCGCACGCAAGCGCCCTCGTCTCCAATGGTGCCGCGCTGGCGGCCCGCGTAGACCACCGCGCAGGGTCGCCACATCACCTCGTGTATGACCCGTCTCGGTTCGTCGCTCACGTGGGCGCTGGCCGAGGCATCGGTCGGTCTCCACCCCATCGGGCATGCCGTGGTCTGCGTCGCCGGGGAGGGGTGGGCGCCGATCTCGGCCAGAGGAGGCTGGGTCCCAAGAGGGGCCCGAACTCCTCGGGGCCTCCGACGTCGCCCTTCTGAGCGCCGCCGACGTCGAAGGTGCATCCCCCAGAGGAGGAGGAGGAGGAGGAGGAGGAGGAGGAGGAGGAGGAGGAGGAGGATCGAGGAGGAGGATCGAGGAGGAGGATCGATGAGGAGGAGCCATGATGAGGAGGAGGCGGAGGAGGAGGAGGAAGAGGAGGAGGAGGGGGACGAGGAGGAGGAGGAGGCGGAGGAGGAGGAGGAGGACGAGGAGGGCTCGTCTGTCGGCCGGTCCCTGCGGGCCCCCAGTGGAGCTCGTTCGTTAAGCTTTGGCGAAGCGTCTTGGCTCGCGTATAGATAGCCCTACCAAACAGTGTTCTAAGAACCTTTTGTGGTTTCTACGACATGTTCTGAGTACATTTCTGGCGGAGTCTGTCTTGTTTAAACACATCGGGATTATGTTCTAAGAACATTGCTTTTCTTCTTAGACCATTTTGGGGTTCTAAGAACATTTCGTGGCAGGACTACAGGAATGCTGGGACGGTCGGTCCCTGCTCAAGTTCGGCTCTGCCCCGGAGGCCCGGCCTGGCCGCTCCCAGGCGACCACGCCGACCACGGCGGGCATGCACGCCAGGCACGCCAGGGCCCGGGGGCGTGCCTCAAGAATGCTTCACCCTGGGAGTGCTCCCCGGCTCCCCTGCTGGAGGCTGGGGGGCCTCCCCTCGTGCGCCGCGCGGAGGTGGGGGGGGGAGAAACCCCAGGCGCTGGGGATCGCTCCCCCTTTGTCCTCGGACGCGTAGGAGGCCAAGATGCAGATGAAGATGGAGATGGAGATGACGACGACGACGACGACGATGACGATGCTGCTGGTGCTGCTGCTACTGCTGCTGATGATGATGATGATGATGATGCTGATGCTGCTGATGATGATACTGATGATGCTGATGATGAGGAGGATGATGTTGATGCTGATGATGTTGATGCTGGAGATAATGGTGATGATGATGATACTGATGATGCTGGTGATGATGATGATGATGCTGCTGCTGCTGATGCTGATGCTGATGCTGATGATGCTGCTGATGATGCTCATGATAATGATGATGGTGGTGGTAATGATGATGATGATGATGATGATGATGATGATGATGATGATGATGATGATGATGATGATGATGATGATGATGATGATGATGATGATGATGATCGTGATCATGTTGATGCTGATGAGGATGATGATTATTGATTGCGAGAATGATGGTGATGGTGATGATGATGATGATGATGCTGATGCTGATGTTGATGCTGATGCTGATGCTGATGATGATGATGCTGGTGTTGATGATTATGATGACGGTGATGATGATGAGGAGGAGGAGGAGGAGGAGAAGGAGGAGGAGGAGGAGGAGGATGGTAAGGGTGATGATGCGTTCCCAGTTTTTTCCCAAATTCCCTGTTGCTCCATAGTTCCAGTGGCGAGGGCCCCTGGAGGGTTATCCCTGAGCTCGTGGAGCGCACATTGAGCCAGTCACAGCCTAACACCATCGCGGCCACCAATCGGTGCAGTGACCACATCGTGTGGTGTGTGTGTGTGTGTGGGGGATTCGGTGTGACCGCGCAGATTTGGGCTTTGGGCTGTTATCCGAGGATGTCTCGGGCAGTTGGGGCCTTGCGGCGACAGACCGTGCGATGAGGGGATTTCGAGGTCACCGCGCAGCCTGTCACCGCACTGTTTTGGGATCCCCAGTCATGACACCATTCCCGTCGTATCTTACGTAGACGCGGAGGCCTCAGCAATGCGCAGCCTGCCCCAGAGAGGGGATAGCAGCCGAGGCAGCGGCGTGTGGGGGGGAACAACAGTGGGAGAGAGCAGCCCCAGCCGCCCTCCTCAACCCCCTCCCCCTCCCCCTCCCCCCCTCGAACACAACAACGAGGTATTAAACACAAACTTTCACAGCTCCGCGCAGATTTCTCGGATCGGCGCTGGGCGCCAGGCCCCTCTGGCGTCGCTTCCGGCGCTTCCCTTGGCGCGCTCCGCGCGCCGCGGAGGGGCCTGGCGCCGATCGGTCCACAAATCCGCGGAGACCTCCGAAAGCTGATGTACAAATATGCCCTTTTTGGGTGCTCCGGAAGACGCGCGCAAGAGCTTCATGCTCTGAGCGTGCTCCGCCGCCTGCGGTCTTCTTCTCCCGCGCCCGCTCCTCCCTCGCCCTGCTGTGCCCAGTCCGAGTCCGGCCCCGTAGAGTCCCTCCGTTGCCTCCGACCGCGGGCTGCGACAGAGACAAGTGTGTCAGCAGACCTGCGAGATGTCGACGTAGTTCTGCGCTCCTTCCGTACTTGGGGCACTCCAGCTCTGATGTCGACCTCCTGCTCGGCCCACGAGCCTCGCGCCGGGCCACCGTGCGCCCCGGGCTCCGCCGGCCTGCCCGCCGGCCCACTCTGCTGCGGGGCCTCTCCCCCGCCGGTGCCGAGCTGATCGGCGGCCCCCCGGGGCCCACAGACGGCCTCCGGCGGCCGCGTGACCCAGACCCCCCGTGGGCCTCGCGCAAGGTGGGGGGGGGGCCGACGAAGGGGGGGCGGGGGGGGCAGCGAGGGCTGCCGAAGAGGGGCCCTTTGAAGGGGCCTTCAGGGTCCGAGAAGAAGGGCACCTTCCCCCCCCACACTAAGCGAAGCCCAACCCCCAGGACTCGGCGGCGAGCGAGGGTGGGGGGGAAGTGAGAAGGAGAAGGCCTTCTCAGAAGGCCGCGTGGCTTCTCGGAAGCGCTTCGGCCTTCTGAGAGGTTTTCGGTGTCTTCGGGTGAAGGCTCAGAGAATTCTTCAGAAGGCTGTGGGGGTTCGGAGCCTTTCTGTGAAGGCCCGCCCCTTCTCAATTCCCCCCCTCGCTCGCCGCCGACAGACCTCCTGGAGTCATGAAAAAGTCACGCGAGAGATTCTTGGCGATTTTCGGCCTCCGGGGGGCCCTACCAGGCCTCGGGACCGTCAGAAAAAGGATTCCGATGAAAAATTAGTCGCGGGGAATGGGTCGAGACTTTTGGGGGTTGACGCTATCATAACAAATGTGACGTATCAAAAATTCATGACGTCGGGGGCCTGGGGATGCAGAGAAGCGGCTCCCGCGCGATGCCTCGAGGGGCCTGTGGGTTAGCGACCGGTCCCGTTTCCATGCGAGATCGGCGAGCTCCGTTGCCAAACGAGGTGGCAGTGGCCTCATGCTTCGGGGGGTGCCGTTTCCGATCCGTGTGTCTGGCGCCCGCGCGCCAGTTCCACGGATCCGCAATCCAGGTTGCGGTCAGGAATGTTGGCTTAGCGTGTCGCGCCGATGGTTCTGGCCCACCACGCCTGCGCGCGACACGCGATCTACCTCCCAGTCCCCAAGCGTCAACGTCCCGAGTTGTTCCTTGCCTTCCGCCACGTGTGGCGGAGCGACGCGCTATCCTCTTGCAGGGCACAGCGTCTCGCCGGGCCCCCGCCGCGACACGCTGAGCCAAAGTGTCTGACCGTGCCTGCGCCCGAACGTCCTTCCGCGCCAGATCAACGCCGACGTCGGGGACTTCGAGATCGTCAAGGAGGCGCTCAAGCTGGGCAGGTCCGTGGACCCCCAGAAGGCCCCCTGGGCGGCGCGTTGGGGCGCCCTGCAGGGGAAGGCACGGAGGCTTGGGGGACCAGGATCAAGGGCAGCGCTAGGGAGGACGACTTTCTCGGCATCGAGGCTTGAGGTTATCATGTGTTTTCGTCGGTCCTCGGCGGTCTTCCAGCCTCGGGGTGCGTTGCACCGGCTGCGCCTCGCAGAGAGCGTCCCTGGGGGTGCCCCCGTGGTCCCGAACCGCCACCGGACAGCCGAGTTCTGACCCGAGAGCCACAGGGCAGCGTTATGGGGGTGATGGGCTTAGGGGGGGATGCATGGACCCCCAATCGCCAGTTCATGGCCGATCGAGGGCCGATACCAGTAGCCCACCCTGCCAAGGAAACTGCGGATTCGCCATGGGGGCCTGATCGCAGAACTATCGGCGATGTATCGTCGATTCCAGCTCGATTTTCCCCCTCCTCCACCAGTACCCCCCCTCACAGGAGGATGGGGGGAGGGAGGGCTCCAGAGGAGGGAGGAGATCGAGAATCGAGGTTTCTGTGAGCTTGCTTCTTGGGGGCGGGCGGGGATGAGGAGGAGAGAGGTGGGAAGGGGGGAATGCGGTGGAGTGCTTCTTGTGGGAGCTTCTGGTGGGCCGAGGAGGAGTTCCCTTCGTGGTCCATTCAGCCTCCGAGGCCATCCCGCTGCCGCATGGGCCGCCGAATGGGCTGGACTTCAACACAGTCGAGCTGCGCCCACCCCATCCAGACAGGTACAAGGTAGTTAGTCACGAGGTACTGAACCGTATTGATTGGTTTGTCCGTTGCCAGTGTGGTTCAAGATGGCTAGTGCGCAGTGTTGCAGCCGAGGCGCGGGATCACTGTATGGGAGCAAGAGTAGCAGGACCCTGTAATGTCGTTTGGACTAGATACCTTCGTGCGTGTCAGGCCGAATGCCGAGAAGCATCGTGATGCATTGGTCAACCGCCACCTGTGGGGGAGCGCCCGCACAGTTAGTGTGGCCGAGGACGCTGGGGCTCAGCAGACTGGGAAGGCCACCGCGAGCTCATACGGACCCTTTGCCGCGGTGCTTCCCCCCGACATCGCGCAGCCTGCAGCGTATGAGATCCTGGTGTCTGGTCTGGCCGACTCTTTCCTGCGTTCTGGGACGAACTGCACGATCTTCGCGTATGGACAAACTGGCAGCGGGAAGACATATACCTTGTTTGGTCCGCCAGACTGCTTCTCAAAGTCAGATGAGGCCCAAGCGTCTGCCGATGCTGACGGCGCGTCCCTGGGGCTCTGCCCGCGCGCGCTCCGAGACATCAGGCAAGCTGTGCGGGGCGACCCTGCGGCAACCACGAGCCTGTTCGTCTCGGCGGTCGAGATATACCTGGAGGAGTGCTACGACCTCCTGAACAACAAGGTCAAGGTGCCAATCGCAGGAGCCAGCTCGGTCAGCAAGAAGGCCGGCGGAAGCTTCAACGGCCAGAGGCTTGGCGGCGGTGCCCGCAGTGCGGACGGCAAGTGGGTCCCTCCTGTTGTCAACGGCAAGAGGAATCCGGCTCTCCACGAAGTGGAGGTGAAAGGCAGCAAGCAGATGTTGAGGCTGGCGCCCCCTCCGAAGGCCTCTCTGGCCGCCTGGGGCCGGTCGTGGGAAGCGAGAACGCAAGAAGTCGATTCGAGTCGGACTCAAGATGAGTACGTTTTGGAGCAGATGACCCCTCCGAGGGGGGTCCGGCGGAGTGCAGCGGAATTCCCCCTTTCCAAATCTTCTGGATCGGGCTCCCGAGGAGGGGTTCGGGGAGGGGCAGCCATTTGATACGCTAGGCAGACCCTGCGTGGTCGGCAAATCAATGTTTTGGACGACGATGAGAGTTTGCTGCATGTGTTGCGCGTCATTGAGGTGAACCGCAGCGGGTGCAGCCACGCCCTGAATGCACGCTCGAGCCGCTCCCACTGTCTGGTCACCCTGACCATGACGAAGGTGGCCGGCGGTCGGGAGCGCACGAGCCGCTTCCTGTTTGTGGATCTGGCCGGCAGCGAGCGCACAAAGGCGAGCAACGTCCAGGGCCTTGGCGTGCAGGAGGCCAAGAACATAAACCTGTCGCTGAGCTCGCTTGGGCGCTGCATCTCCGCGCTGCGGCAGACCGGCACGAGCGGCAGGGCCGCAGCGGCGCCGGGATCGTTCGTGCCTTGGCGTGACAGCGCCCTCACCATGCTGATGAAGCAGAGCCTGAGCGGAAACTGCCGGACGGCTCTGTGCGTTTGCGTCGCAGAGGACGCCGCGTGGGCCTCAGAGACAATATCGAGCTTGAGATTTGGTCTCACGTGCGGGGATCTGAAGACCTCCGCGTGTGCCGTGGAGAGTCGCGATGCCGATCAGGAACGTGCTGGCGTTCAGGCGCGTCTGCAGGAGATCGGTGTGGAGCTGGCCGAGCTTGTGAACAAAGGAGCGCATGGCCATGTTGACCCCTCCTTCCCGCGAACGACAGCACAGGGCTTTGTGGATAATTTCAAAAATCTGCGCATAACAGAAGGGGAGCTGGTGAGGAGCAAATTGGCAGCGAATGCTACTCAACAGGCAGCTCTCGAGCAGACTATCAATAGCCTCAAGGGAGTCGTAATACGCCAGATCACCACGGGTCTCTGGAAGGAGCCAACGAAGGGCTGGCGCATCAAGATGGATGAGCGCAGGGGTCTACTGCAAGAGCAAGAGCGACTTTGTGCAACTAGTGGAAAATCCCCCCCCGTTCTTGGCAGCGAACTGGCTGATGGAATGAGCTGCATGTCACTGTACGATCTCACTCGCGACTTTACGGGATGATCCCTTTGGGCGATCCCCGTACGTGGCAGATCGTTTTTTTCCATCCTGTGGAATACATCATTCAGGGCATTAATTGTCAGTCTAAGGCTGGGGGAGGCGGAGTGGGCGAGGCACTTCTCAGGAAAAAGTGTTTCTGCATGGTGGGCACTCCGTTGAAAGACGGAATGGTAAGGATGTATGGCTGAATCGCTCGGGAAGCCAGGCGCCCAGATATATGTGATCAAGAACTTGGTCTGCGAGTTCAGAATCACATCGCCATTGCAGAAGATCGCATCGGTTTCGACATCCTGGTGCGACCACAGATAATGGTGCGTACTACATATGATGGGACGGTTCGCTTTAATCATTAGGGAGACTCCGCTTGCCTCACAAACGGAGTTTCAGGAGCGGCGAGGGGATGCACTTGGTATTGTGTCAAAGCGGTTGACTCGCTATCTACCGTGTTTCACTCGTTGTTGGGTTTGATGATTGGCCCCGCAGTTTTTGATGAGGCGCAGAGTCAATTTTCTGAGTTGATGCGGCTTCGCTTGAGCGCGGAAGAGAGGGATGGAGAGAGAGAGAGAGAGCGAGAGAGAAGGATCTCAACAGTAAGCAGAAAGGAACTACATTTTTAGATACCGAATGTCGGGAGGGCGGTTCACATGGTGATCAGTGATCATGAGTGTAAGAGTTCCTGTGCGCGTGTGTGTGTTTTGCCTGAGCGCGTCTGCGTGTAGAGAGCGAAGGCGCATGACATCGCAGGCATCTCGGCCCAAGAGCACCAGCGAATCTGGTACTGAAATTCGTTTCAGCAGCGTTTTCGGGCAAGAGCCATGCAGCTGTAGGGCCTATAATGCGCCAGCACTCCAGAAGCTGGGGCGCCATCGCCGCAACGCGAAGGAGGAGCAGGGGGAACAGCTGGAGTCGAGATGAAGGGGGGAGGAGGGACGAAGGAGGGAGGAGGGAGGAGGGAGGAGGAGCTCCCGCCAAGCTCGCAAAAAAGCCCACTCCAGCCACTCGAAACCTTCACGATCCCATGGTAACCCGACGGACGAAAAGAAAAGGGTGAAGCACGTTAGACACACTCGACACTCTGTGGCCAGGAGCGACGTTTGCAGAAAACCTGTCCCAGAGCATACCCCCTCCCCGCTGGACTCACCATGCGACGTGTAGGTGGGTCTGTCCAGGCGCTGCGGTTGTTTTTTCAGAACCGAGGTCTCGCAGCAGAAGTCCTCGCAAGTCGCCGCGCCAAACTCAGCAGTTCCAGCACTCGCGCCAGTGGCGGCGGCTCCAACTCTGGTGCGATCGCTGAATGGCCGCTGTTGAACCGCAAGAGTTCTCAACTTTCCAGCCCCCCCTCCTCCGTGGCGTGACCATCAGGCTCTGATCCTCCAGTCCAGTGTTCCCTTGGCAGGGGCATCGAAGCTTTGCTAGAACTCTCCAGCCCCCCCCGGCGTCCTGAGGCCTGAAATCCGTGGCAGGCCCGTTCTGGACCCGGAGGTCGGGGAGGGTCCGCAGCCGGTGAGACTCCCGGCGACTGGAGCTGGCACATCCGCAAGGGATTCGGGCGCCGAGGCACGCATGCGGGCCATGCGGCCCGCCTCCCTGCTGGTGCTGGCCCTGGCGGTCCACGAGGCCGCCTCGCTGCGCGTCCCCGCGGCGGGGGCAGGCCGCAGCGCGGTGTTCTCCACCGCCTGCTTCTACGACGCGCGCAGCTTCCCGCGCGCGTTCTTCAGGACCCTGCGCGGCACGGGCTTCGCCGGCGACATCGTGGTGGGCGCGGACCCAGGCCTGCCCGACGGGGTCGCGGAGTTCCTGCGGGAGGTGGGCGCCACCGTGCGCACCGCGGTCTGCAGGGAGCAGTACGAGGCCCTCGGGCACCACGAGCTGCTGCGCTCCAGCGCCGGCGTCAACAGGACCGACCTCGCGGCGGCGGTGAATTGCGACTCAGATTGGGAGACAGGCGAGCTCAGGTTCGCGGGCCCCGGCGGCGTGGACCCTGGCAGATTCGGGGGCTCCGTCTGTCAGACGCGGTACAGGCACTACCAGAGCTGGCTTGAGGAGGGGGGGTATGACGCCGTGTGGCTCCTGGACGCCCGAGACGTAATCGAAGACACCTATACGGCGAATCACCGCCGCCCCCTACCTTTCTGGAAGCACCTAGGTGGCCGAACGTTGAGGCCAGACCTGTCAAGCTATCGGACCATGTGTTCCCCGAATCGGTTTGGAAAGCCTTCGGGGAACACGTGGGCATCTTGAAGGTCATCTTGGCCGTCTGGAGGCCATTTTGACCCTTTCGGGCCTTCTTGCACGACGTCTTGCAGAGCTCTTGGGCCGTCTTGGAGGCCATCGTGAGCGTCTCTTGGGCCGTCTTGGGGGCCTCTTGGGGCCGTCTTGGGCCTCTTGGGCGATCTGTGGGGGCTCTTGGGCCGTCTCGGGCCGTCGGAAGGCCGAAAAAAAAGCAAATGCCACAATCCTTGGGAAATCAATAATTTGGGCCTTGTCGTGCCTTCCTGGAGGTTCTCTTGGAGGCCTCTTGGGCCGTCTTGAGCCATCTTAGGGCCATCTTCGGCCATCTTGGTGGGCGCCTGGCGAGCCTGACGCCGTCGGAAGCCGTTTGGGGGGCCTCTCTGGGCCGACTTGGGGCCCTCTTGGAATGCTCCAGGGCCGTTTTGGAGGCTATCTTGGGCGTCTTCAAGGCCTCCTGGGCCTTCTTGGGGGCCTCTTGGGGCAGTCTTGGGGGCCTCTTGGGCCGTTCTGGGGCTATTTTGGAGGCCTCTTGGGCGATCTTTCGGCGATCTTTGAGGGCTCTTGAGCCGTCTCGGGCCGTCGAAAGACCGAAACGAAGCAAATGTCGAAATCCTTCAAACACCTGAGGAAAATCAGTGTTGTTGGCCTTTTCTGGCCTTCCTGGAGGCCCTCTTGGAGGCCTCTTGGGCCGTCTTGGGCCAGCTTCGAGCCAATTTCGGCCATCTTGGTGGGTTCCCCGTCTGACGCCGTCGGGAGCCGTCTCGGGGGCCTCTCTGAACCGGCTTGGGGCCCTCTTGGGGCGCTTCGGGGCCGTCTTGGAGGCCATCTTGGGCGTGTTGGAGGCCTCTTGGCCCGTCTTGGGGGGCCTCTTGGGGCCGTCTTGGGGCCGTCATGGGGCCATCTTGGAGGCCTCTTGGGCTGTCTTGAGCCGTCGGAAGGCCGAAAAGAAACAAATGCCCAAATCCTTCAAAAACCTGTAGATGGAGGCCTCTTGGGCCGTCTTGGAGGCTTCTTGGGCGACCTTGGAGGTATCTTGGACTCTCTTGGGCCGTCTTGGAGGCCGTCTTGGACCATCTTGGGCGGACTTGGAGGCCATCTTGGACCATCTTGGAGGCCATCTTGGGCCAACGTGGTCATCTTGGAGGCCATCTTGAGCCGTCTTGGAGGATTTTTTCTGGGATTGAGCTCCTGGGCAATCCTCCCGGGACCCTGGCGGGACGGGCCGAAGCCCCAGGGTGAGTTATTTTGGAAAAAGTAGCAAAACCAAAACCGAAATCGTCTAGCACGCCCGGCACCCCTGCGATGAACCGACAGGGGGCAGCGGATCGAATGGCCTTCGGCCCATCCCGCCACCGTGCCTGGGTTGTGGGTCTGAGGCCATCTTGGATTTTCGTTTGGATCTCGTTGGTGCCTTTCGGGGACTTCCTGGAGGCAGTTTTGAGGCCTCCAGGGGGCTGTTTTGGGGCCTCTTGGAGCCCTCTTGGGGGCCTCTTGGGGGCCTCCTGGGGCCTCCTCGGCGCCTCTTGGGGCGGAAGGCTCGGACTTTCGGTTCGTGTTCCCCCTCTGGGGGCCGTCTTGTGGCCCTCTTGGACAGTCTTGGGTGCCTCTGGTGCCATCTTGGGGTCCTCTGGGATCGTCTTGGGGCCCTGTAGCCGTGTCAGTTTCTGAACGTTCCCGTGTTTTTTTCGTTGTTTGTTTGTTTGTGTCTTCTTTCTCTCTCTCTCTCTCTCTCCTTCTTTCTGTCTCTGTCTCGCTTGCTATCTCTAACTATTATGGTCACCTCTCTCTGTGCCGATCTATAACCCCGCTATCGCTCATGGTGTATTTCGTTTGTTATATGTCGACGCGCCGCTTGTTCCGACACGCGGCCGCACGTCTTGTGGAGGGCGCCTCGGCCACCAGAGACGTGGGTTTGCCGCAAGGTTTGCCGTAGGGTTGCCGCGGCACCTGCTTCGTCGACTTGGACGCGTTTAGATAAAGCGGCACGGCGACATGCTTCAGTTGCCAGAGGAGAGAGAGAGGGAGAGAGAGAGAGAGAAAAAGAGAGAGAGAGCTAGAAAGAGAGAGAGAGAGAGAAACAAAAAAGAAAGAGAAAGAGAGAGAGAGAGGGAGAAACACAAGAGACAGAGAGGACAAGTGAGAGAGAGAGAGAGACGGGGAGAGAGAGCAACCAATCCATCCTTTCAATTTCCTTCTCTGCGCGTGTGCGTGGAGAGTGTGAGGGTCAACGTTCGCTCCTCCGGTGTGTGTGTGTGAGAGAGAGAGAGAGAGAGAGAGAGAGAGCAACCACTCCCCCCGCCATTTCTCCCCGTCTTTTTTCTGGCGTGTAAAACGCACGAGGGCAACCCTTCCTCTTTCCCACTTTCTGTAAAGTTGTGCGTGGGAGTGTCAGAGAGCAGCCGCATCCCCCCTCTTATGGGAGGGGGAGCGGCTGCTCCCTTACACTCCCACACACGCAACTCTGAGGGGAAGCGGAGGGGGTAACAGCTGCCCTTTCGCATTTTGCACGCCACAAGCGGATGGGGGGAAATGGTTGGGGGAGTGGTTGTTCTCTCTCTCTCTCTCTTTTTTGTTCTCTCTCTCTCTCTATATATCTCTCTCTCTTTCTCTCTCTCTCTCTGTCTCACGTCCCCTTCAGACTCAACACAGGGTGTGCTATGGGAGGGGGCCGTGGTTACCCTCGAACCCTCCACGCACACGCGCGGAGGAGAAGATGGAAAGGGGGAGTTGTTTTTTATTATCATTCTCTCTCTCTCTCTATCGCTCTCTCT